ACCTCCCAAAGGAACAGCTGAGAAACACCCCACGGCCAGAGCTATGCCCTGAGCTGGGGCTCTGAGCACCTCCTGGCTCCCAGGATCATCATGGAAGTGCCCGGTGCTCATGGGGACACTGTCCTGCCTGCAGCAGGGCACCTGGGCAGCCTTGGGGACAAGGCCTGCTGAGGGTTGGTACTCACGGGATGGGCTGCTCCACCTCAGGGGACACCCTGGCTTCCTCTGCCACCTGGTGCATGCGTAGGTACGTGGCTGACAGAGGAGGCGACTCAAAGACGTCATCGGGCATGGAGTACGTCTCATCGTGCATGTCCATCTGGAAAGGGGATGGATTGTGTCCTTGGATATGGGTGATGGGTCAGAAACTGACTGAGCCCACACCCCCTGACTGAGCATACCCCTGGCCAATGACACCCCACTAATGACACATCACAGGGTGTGAAATGTGCCCAGATGGCGACAAGGGCCAACACCAGGGCTGGGGCATAGCAGCCACCATTGCCTCTGTCACTGCTGGGTGGAGTGCCAACACAGGGATCCTCGTGAGAGCCCTCCTCCACACCGAGCCCCCTGTGCAGGGCCCCAGCTCCAGCAGCCAGCATGGAAAGGTGCTTGCCTTACTGAAGAAGGACGAGTCCAGGGTATCAGCAGCATCCACCATGTCCTCGTCCATGAAGCTGGGGTACAGGAAGCTCCTCTTGCTCCTCTGCTTGGGAGCCAGTGGCTCCAGGACAGAGCGCCCCTTTGGCAGGACAAGCAATTGAAGGTTAGCAACCAGAAGCCCTCAGTTTTTGCAGCACTGAGGGTTTCTCAGATCTTCCCTCTCCAACACCGAGTGGCAAAGATTAAATCCCAATCAATCAGCCACCATACCCCCTTGTGTGGGGAGGAAAAGACAGAAGATGCTGCCTTTAGCCCCTCAGAATCCACACTGAACCATGGCCACGTTAGTCAGCATGACAAGTGACCTCTGAATTCATCTGGTCTCATACCCACAAACCCATCCCCAAGATTTGCCCTGGGGTCCTCAGAACCAAGAAAATTGCTGGAGAGGTTTCATTGCCCCTAAGCAACGGAACCCAAAAGTTGTTTCTTTCTCAGATTGTCCAATTTCCACCAAAACTCCTACTTTTAAGTAGTGCTCAGGTTTAAAAATCCAACCTCCTCCCTCATACCCACCCTGGAGAGAGAGCAATCTCCATGCACAGCAAACAGACAACAAAGATGATGGGTGAAGGACAGAACTGAAACCCAGCTTAGGAAGGTGATCCCCCCTCACCCTCCCAAAACTCACACGCAGGAGGGCTGCGGCCGCCTTGAAGCTCATGTGGGCCACAGACTCCCTCTTCCTGCGCGGCAGGCGCCCGTAGCCCG